CAGTGAGATTGAGCGGCAAGCCCAGGTGGCAGAGCAGCTGAGGGAGCAGCAGGCAGTGGAGTCCAGGAAACAAGCTGAGGAGTCCATGTAAGTGCCCTCTTTGGGCTGAATACCTGGCATACGTAAGGCAGGAGTAATATGAGGTTAATGCTGTTCACCCTGGGATCACCTCGTGTGAGGACAGAACGTGCTGCACCGTAGGATGAGCAGTGGCCATAAGCCAACATGGTCCTTAGAGCAGGGCAGAGATGATAGTGCCATGTTTTATTCAAATTAGCATCCCTGGAAGAGTTAAAGGAGCAGATACAGGAGGTTTTTCTGTTTCTGTTGACCTTTGGACAGGACGCAAAAAGGCAAAGGCTGAACTGGATGGGGCATTCTGTTGGGGGAGGGGTGGGGTAAGGAAATCATGGTTAGCCAAAAAAAGAGCTGAATCCCAGTGGTAGTAAAGTGGGAAGACAAGCAGTAGCTTCCATGAAAGGATTTTTGGTAGAGGTGTTGTAGAAGTTGGGTTGTCAGGGTTATTCTCCCCCTTGCCCCTTGGCAGCATAGGCTGGGGGGAGGGTGATGAGCTGGTCTCCACCATAGCTCTCTCCTCCAGAGTCACCTCAATGCGACTGGCTTACCAGGATCTGCAGCTCAGTCGGAAGAAGGAAGAGAAGAAACTGGAGAACCTTGAAGGGAAGAAGCGTGAACAAGCGGAGAGGCTGGGCATGGGCCTGGCATCCAGAAGGTACTTGGTTGGGGATGGCTTAGGACAGAGAGGTGCCTTGGAGGCACCCTCCTCTGGAAGGGATTCCTGAAGGCAGTAGCTTGCTGCTGTTGTAGCAGCTAGGACAAGGAGCTGATTTAGTGTGCTTATGTGCTGGATGATGTCTAAAAATGCTCTCGGGGGCCCCATAAGGAATGGGCACTCTGCTCAGAGGTTCTAATTTCATTTTGAGCTTTTCCAAAGATGTGTGAGGCTGCCACTGTAGAGCCCTGCTGCTCAACAGATGTCCCCTTGCAGAACATTTCCCTTAGAAAGGTAGCTGGAGACTCCTGAGAGAGTCAGGGTGGGGCACTGAGGAGCGTGAAGGGGCTGGCACACCGCAGCTCTCCCCTGAGACCTGTGGCACCTGCCCTGCCCGTGGAGGCCAGGCTGAGTTCTGAGGCAGACTGGGCTCTGGAGCTGGGTGCTGTGAGACCTGTGGGCCCTGACTGCCTGTTGTTGTGCCAGCTCTGTTTCACACTCGGTGATGTCAGAGATGCAAGTGATCGAGCAGGAGACACCGCTGGCTGCAAAATCCCCCCGCTCCCAGCTGGACTTGTTTGAAGATGCTGGAGGCTTCACATCTGGACCCCCCAAGTAAGACTTGGCTTCAGTGTAGTCTTTGGCTCATTCCTGTATTTAATGTCTGGGCTAAATGATGTATTTTGATACCTAGGTACAAATATAGTCCCTTCTCATTTGAAGATGCATTCGGCTCACGATGGGACACGGACTCGTCATGGGGGATGGACAAAGAGGAGGAACCTGAGGTGACCATCTCCAGTATTCGGCCAGTTTCAGAGAGGTAAAGTGCCTGCCCCTGCTCCTGGGACTTCCTTGTGTGTGGGGACAAAGGGGTAGGTCTGGGGAGCCTTCTCCTGCAGAAGATAACTTGCATGGACAAGCCAAGGAGACTTGGGCACTCCTTTGCCTATCATATCTCTAAGCTTGATAAAACCTTCATGGTCACCAAGTACCGGACGTTCTGAGGGGGGGTGAGGAGAACTCTGATGGTAGATAGCATTCAAGGATGTGTTGCTTTCCTGTGATGACGTGGGGTCTGAGAGAGAAGTCTCTTTGCTGTGTTGTTGAGCTGAAGCTGAGATGTCTGCTCTTGTTTCCTCAGACCCAGCAGCAGGCGGGAGCCGGAGAGCAGGACAGTGGTGGAGTCCAACGAAGCCCGGCAGAAGTTTGCAGGGGCTAAAGCCATCTCTTCAGACATGTTCTTCGGGCGGGAGGCAGATGCTGAGGTAGATGCATTCTGCAGCACTTAGGCTGGTACAGCTCTGGCTTCATCTCCTTCTGTTTGCTCACCTCCTGCCTTGTTCCCTTCCCTTATGACTTCTTGTGTTGTGTTTCCCGCTGCAGTACGAAGCCAGATCCCGACTGCAGCAGCTCTCGGGCAGCAGTGCCATCAGCTCTGCAGACCTGTTTGGAGAGGCTGACAATGTGCACTCAGGTCTGTTAGGCCTCAGCAGGTTGAGGAAGGGGGGGACAGCTTTGGAGGACCTAGGCTGGAGTTGAGGGGGGGTCAGGATGCTCTCTGGAGCTGGGGGACTCTGGGCTAACTGCTGCTGGTTCTCGTAGGTGGTGTGTCCATTGGGAATGTCCTCCCTGCAGCTGATATTGCACAGTTCAAGCAAGGAGTGAAGTCAGTTGCTGGCAAGATGGCTGTCCTAGCCAACGGGGTGATGAACTCCCTCCAGGTGAGGTTATACCACAGACTGTTGGCATGCTCAGGGACTTTCACCATATCCCAGCTTCCCCTGGAACTGTTGTCTTCTCAAATGGCTTCTGCCTCCCAGGTAGAGACTTTTGTAGCTGCTGAGCAATTCTAAGTGGCCAGTGAACCCTACTTGGCCAACCTTACTCTGCTGATGGACTTTGTTATGGCAGATCTGCCTGGGATTTGTGGGAAAAGGCATAACTTAAAAGTTGATGCCATTTTACTTCCTGTATTTGCATGGTGTCTTTTCTAGGTAGCCTTGCACTGCATCCCAATCCCAAACACCCCAGGACCTTTTTATTTGTCTGTGGAGTTTGCCTGAAGTGCTGTAGCATTGGTGTCTTTGCTGTGCTTCCTCCCCAGGATCGTTATGGCTCATATTGATGACCCAGGGACTGCAACTCAAGGAGAAGCCAGCAAGAGGCACTGATGCCACCTTTGCCTGGAGTAAACTCTGCAGGATTGTCTTAATTTGTCTGGGGATGGGTGGGGAGGGGAGAAGTTAAACAGAGGGGCTCAGGCCATGGCTGTGCCCAGGATGCTTTCCAAATATCTCTGGATTCCACTCTATTAAAATTCAATGTGCCCTCATTCCCACTGCTATCTACTAGCCAGTGGAGACAGACCTTCTTACAGGGTTCACCTCACTGCTGTAGAAGATAGGAGAGGAACTCCTGGGCTGCCCTCTTCAGTGCCCTTGTCCTTCCTGGCCCCCACCTTATCTCACCAAGGGAGAGAAGAAAGGGGAATGCTGCCTTTCTGAACATCACATTATCTGATTCCCATGGACGTGACTGGTTTTTTTCTGTTGTTCTGCTCACTGCTCCCCATCCATGGTGCTGTGGAGTCCTCTGTATATGCAGGGTCTGACTTTTACCATGGGGTCATCCTTTTTACTGTTATGTAAACCAGCATATATTGATGCAGGAGGAAAAAAAAAAAATCAAAGTGAAGATGATTATTTTTTAAGCTTCTATTTGCATCAGCAGCAGAAAAGGTGCAGGTAAAAAAGTACTGTAAAAATGTTTACTGGATCCCTGGTTAATTTGTTGGCCAGCTTTGGACTTGAGGTCAAAATCACAAGCCTCTTGACTTAACCATGAGGTTAAGTAAGTGAAGTGCAGCAGCGTGTGAGGTCTGTCATTTTAGTTCTGTTCAACTTGGTTTTAACAGCATGTTTTTTCAGTTCCTTGGGCTGTGGAGGAGTTGGGGTGGGGGAAAAGGGCTGGTTACACACTAGATAGGACTGGTCCTGCTCCCCCTGAGGAGGAGGAGGGTGAGGGAGGGGGTCTGGGGCTGGCCATGAGAGCCCAGGCGCAGCGGTGGCGTCACGCAGCGTTTTATTGTCGGGGTGTCACACGTCACTCCCTGGTCAGGGGGAGAGAATGCACCACCAGCAAGCACCTCGATAGATACAATAACTTACAGGAAATAAATAACCCCTCCCACTACCTCCACAGGCTCAGCAGTAGTTATGGGATTAGTTTTAAAATAGCTCCAGCATGTGTCGAATCCACTCGGCTTAGGGGCTGCTTTAAGCTTTGGGTGACCAAGCTCTTCATAGCCCTTGCTGCATTCACGAACAGGAGGAGCAAGGAGGCTCCCAAAGCAGCACAAGGAACTCGAGTTCCCCAGGAAATACCTGCTCTCTGCAAGCTGAGGCACAGACACTGCTTCTGCCCACCCAACCCCACCAGCTGCTTGGTCTGTTGGCAAGCCAGACCACCTGTGGCCAAGGAATTTAAAGACCTTTTTTGTTTTGTTTTGTTTTGTTTTTTTCCAACCCGTTGGAAGCTTGCTTTTCCACATTACCTTAATAGATGATATCATCTGGAGGTTAGAGGCAGTGGGAAGCCTCACAGCTGGGAACTCAGTAGAGCCAAGGAGGCAGACAGCACCACACAGGGTTTACTGCAGTCTAGCTTATGTGCTATGGCAGGTCTTGGGCACACAGAGGAGGAAGCAGAGACAGGTGGCATGGCAATACCTAAGCCCTTCTTTGCTAGCAAGTTCAGGAATTTCTCTACCTTTGATCACAGGCAGGTGCAGCTTTACTGGTAATATAATTATAATGGAGCACGAGTGCCGAGCTGCCTCTGGCACTTTTTAACCACTACTATCTAAGCCAAGTCTGAGCACAGCCACACAACAAAACACTGGCAAGAGGCCTGCACCAGCACTCCCACTGCTCCAGCACCTGCTGCACCGTGAGGGCCAGCCCTCCCAGGTGGAGGCAGAGCTAGCAGCTGCTGGGCTGTCCTGCTTGCCAGCAGAGGGTAGCATAGTTCTGCAGCTGGAAAGAGCTTCTGCAGAGGAGCTATTCCTGCAGGAACTGGAATAGCTGGGAAAAAGGCAGAGTTCTTCCTGGGAAGAGACGGGTAGACCTCGCAGGGGGACTGGCACAGCCACACTGGTGATGTGGACAGAACCCACCGCCGGAGCAGATGCTCTGCAAGGAGGTGCTGTTCTTCCAGGGGGTTCTGGAGGAACCCAAGATGGGAGTGGTGCCCATCCTCACAACCTTCAGTTTTCAGAGGAGTCTGTCTCTTCGTTGGAGCCTTCGCTCTCAGCATCCATTTTTCGCCGGTGGTGTAGAGGCCTCCAGGCAGAGTTAATCCTGGGTGAGGTTCTCACAGGCAGCTGAGCTGTGTCCCCACTGGAGCTGGTGGGACCAGAGACAGAGAGCCCTGCAACCTGAGCGACCCTGAAAGAGAAAAGACCAATGTCAGCCAGCCCAGCTTGCCACCTCCAACCCTTACCATAACAGATTTGGGTTAAACCTGAGAGGAGGAGTTAGTGAGGACAAGCAGAGGGATAGGAAAGTGTCCGTAGCACAGAGAGGGACCATCTTGCACTCACTGTGTGAATCTTTCCTCCTCTTTAAACAGATCTTTCTTCTGGGCTGAGCCTGTGTCCTCCAACACTCCTAATTTTCACCATCCAAACCAAATTTCCCTGCTCCTTAGAGCCTGAGGCTTCCTCCAGACCCCTCTGTAAGGAACACTTTTGCCCTCTCTTTCTGAAGCTTTCTTCTAAGGAGTTTGTTAGCTGCACCAAAGCACCCCAAAGAAGAAGGCCCTCTCTGTTCAGGCTGCTCTCTTGGCTCTATTGTTTCATAGCAGAGCTAAGGAACAGAGACAGGACTTTACTAAAGTCTTCCTTAGCCTGCTACCTTTGTTCTGTTGCTTTACTTCCTAGTTAAGGCAACACCACTTACAATTTCTCAATTTCCTGATCCATGGCAGGGTCCAGAAATAGGTCTCCTTTATCTGGCAAAGCCCCTGGGGAAAAACAAACAAACAAACAAACAAATAAACCAAAAAAGAAAGCATCACAGCAGAGTTAGTCTATTCATTCTTAAAGAAAAGCACTCAAGCCATAACAGCACCCAAAAATCCACCTTGCAAGACAGAGAAGACTCGACCTTACACCTTTTGGAGAAGCAGACACTCCATCAGGCACAGTTGAGGATCATGGACTGATCAAGAATCATGATCCATACTCTGTGTCCTTTGCACAGGCTGTAGCTGAGCTCAGACTAGGCACTCTCTGGTCTCACCTCTCCAAGAACTTGAAGATCCCCAAGGATTGGCATTCACTGTACAAAACACTGAGTACTGACTGCCAGTCAACTTCAGGCCTCTGCTAATTGCTTTATGTAGTCCCCAGTCCCAGATCCTAGAGAGCAATAGATAAATTGCTGTCTGTGCCACAGCCTGAAGCATGTGCTACCACCCAGGGAGAGGTACACTCCTGTGCCACTTGCCTTTCTTGTGGTGCACTAAACTTGGGGCTCAAAACACTCCACAGATGCAAGACTATTGCTCTCCTTGCAGTTCAGGAAAGTCAGGCCTGACAGTGGTGCACGTTAGTCTATAGGAGTAAGTGTGGATGGACTGTGCTCTGGTGTTGTGTGCTGCCTGGGTGACAGTGGGAAAGGCTGGGCCAGTAACTGGGCACCCACTCGCAGCAGAAGGTCAGCATGCTCCTTTTCACATTTGAAACCTTATTCAGGATGGAGGACATGAGGTAGTTCAGGACTGGAACAGCTGGTTGACCAGCCTTGCCCTTTCCTGAAAGGACACTGGCACCTCAGGAAGAGCCCAGAAAGGAAGATGGGGCTCTTTGGAAACCTCTCCTTCCTAATTCTGTAACAAACTTCACCTTGTACAGGGCTCACTGGAGGGGGTGACCAGCTGAGCACAGACAAGGCAGAAATTGCCTGCTACAGCCTGGATAGTGCCACTGTACACAAGGACACAAAAACCCACTTGGTAACAGGTACCAACAGTGCAGTGAGGAATGCTCAGTACCTCTGGCTTAGCCCTCCCTGTGGGGACACAAATCCTGGCCTTGGCACCTGGCTGGTGAAGGTGGGTCTGGAGAGCCACCTGCCTCACACAGCAACAGTCAAAAAACATGTCAATGACTGCCTAAAAATTAGAACCAGTTCAGACCAGGACAGACTCTCCCAGTCCTGGTCTTCCCCTCCTGCAAATGAACAGGGAAGCCTGGCATGGCAACACAGAGTGTCAGGGGGTCCAGTGAAGGGTGCCAGCCTGTTCCCTTTCATGGGCTCAATGCAAAGGATAAGAAGCTAAAGCTTAACTTGTTTCTGCATTTGCAGAATGTGCAGTGAGGTCTCTAGGGTGCAAGAATTATTTGGGAGGATTAGTAAATTATTAACACTCAAAGGATTCACAAATCAACGTGGAGTTTGGCTGCAGATGTGCCTGAGGAACTCACCAGTGCTGCCCCAGCTTGAAGGAGCCACCCTACCCCTGTTCCTCAAGGAGGGCTGCTGGCTTTGTGAGACCAGAGAGAAGGCAGGCACAGGGACCAAAAGCTCCTTTGCCTGAAACTGCCCTTGCTGAAGGGCTTTGGGGAGCTTGTGATCCTCCTCTACAGAGCAAATACTACTGAATTCACCCTTCAGGAGAGATTAAAAGACACCATGAAAAGAATCCTCCTTCCCCTGCCAAGATGCTAGCACCTGTCAGACTTGTGGCTGCTGCTCCTCTTCTGAGAGACCTCAGCAGGGAGCTGGCAGAGGGCCAGGGGACAGGCCCACATTAATGGAAACAAAACCCCACACACTTTGTAGATAGCACAATGGAAGCTGCGGGCAGGATCTTTGTTTTTCTGTTCATCTCTTTTCTTTGCACTCAACTAGAAGTGGGTTTTGTAGAGCAATGGGGGAAAAAAAAGGTTTTGCTTGCTGCCATCCCCACTGAATCCACTGCTTCCTAAGCCTGCCGGCAGGGGGATTGCAGGGCTGCACTCCTGGACCTTTGATATAGAATCTCCGTGGTGCTGGGTAAGCAGCCCTGCCCCAGAGGAGCATTAGCAGCTTAAAGAGTTGGCTCTAAGAAGGGGCTCAGCCAGGGAGGGGACACTTTTCCTCCACTCTGATACACACCTGTGCAAAAGAGCAAGCCCTCAGGCAAGGTACAGCTCTTCACTGAGGTTTGACTTTGTAATGCAGGGACTCTCAAGGCTAGAGGCAGAGGGAGAGGATGCCAACCCAAAGACAGAGAAAGCCTACCCTTACTGGCCAGATGATTTGCTGAGTGAAGATGAGTGAAGAGAAGTGTGTGTGCCTCCACACATTTAAACATCCCTCCTAGAGACAGCCTGGTCTAACACAAAAAAAGCTATTTCTGTTCCCTTTTGCCAGAGGAAGAGCACAAGCAAGATATATTAGAGCAGTAGTGAGGCTGAATTAGGTATGGATTACAAACAGTCCCCTTTGCCAATTCAAGACTTTACTTCCTTGCTCTAGAACAGTATTGACCAGCACAACATGGAAACGAGCAGTGAGATGCTGCTTCGTAATCCCTCTGGTTCCCACAGCAGCCTGCTACTGAATTTTGTAGCAGTTTGTGTCTTTAGCAGTGCAGAGATTAATAAACTAGAGAGATCACACTGCCTTAAGGGATGCTGGGGACGAGCTGGGGAAGACTCAGCTTTGCACCTCTCAGCCAAGGAAGCAGCAGAGGTTTTCCCATTAGGTGTGCCTCCTTTTCTCATAGATGAGAGCACTCACTTAAAACCTCTGTGAAGGGCTAAAACATAGGATGGGACTTCATTCAGCACTGTTGATAGCACCTTACATGTCTCCTGACCACCTCTGCCCAATCTTTACAGCAAAACATGTTAAAACAGTTCTGCTAAAATGATCAGCTGTTGAAGAGGTGAAACATTGCTGCCTTAGGGCAGCATTTCATATCTCATTTTATCCTTGAAGAAGCTCCTCAGCTTCAAGCAGACAGTAAGGTGCAGTGTTATGTTTTTAAAGTTTATCCACCAAAAAAGAAAAACTTTCCCTCGTTCTCTTCCTGACAGTGTAAAGTCTGGGGCATAATTACAGAGGAAATTCTACAGAAGTGCAGAGTGGCTGAAAATCTAGAGCTGTTCCACTCCCAGGAGTCTTACCTAGGGCTCTGTTGATCCCTTGATCCTTTGCAAGTGCCATGAGGAAGTCATAGAAGGTGAGTCTCTGTGCACTACTCACCATTTCCTTCACAAGAGCGGAAGGTGGACAGCTAGAAAAAGAAAGACAAAGAGGCCATCTTGTCTTTTAAATCCTCATGGTGGTTTTTTTTTCCCCCAAGACTCATCTCAAACTGGAGAAATAAACCCTTTTACCATTTCTAACACTGTCAAGTTGCCCTGGCTCAGTTTAAAGCCAAGAGGCACTGGTTTGCTTCTTTGGAGTTGCACCTGCTCCCCCTTTGCTAAGCAAGATGTTTGAGCTGTGGTACATCTCTAGGAGCAGTCTCACCTGTCTCCATCCCAAGGACAGGAAGAAATGCCTACATTCACTCAGAGGCACACACATCCCAACTCTTAGCATATTCTTTCAAAACTCAACTGGAAAATCCTTTCTTTTAGAAGACAACAGTCTTTCAGGAGGTTTGTTACATTGCTATCACTCTTTTGTCTGTGATAATCATCCAAGGGGCAGGAAAACCTTTCCAGCAATAGCATAAATATGTCAGAAAACACTAAGTGAGGACTAGACTGACATGCTCCCTTCTTCTACACTCACTTTAACACCTGGCCCTAACTTTTAAGCAATACCATCATACTGATTCTTGCTCTTGCTTTAAAGGATTTAATGCAAAATAAAACTGCCTCACAAAGAGGAAGTGTTGAACAGTCTGTGGTGTAGTGGCACTGCTGGGAGATGTAGGTGTGGGCTTGGGGATCCCTCAGGCCAAGCCTGGCTGAGCCCTGAGCTACTGGATGAAAGGCTGGGAATGGTTTCCCTCACAGTGCTGTGCAGAGCCTGACCTACCAGATGGGCTCACAGTAACCTTCCCATTTGAAGCTCTCAGGACCTATGAAGGAATCATAGAACTGTTTCAATTGGAAAAGACCTTTAAGCTCATCAAGCCCAACAATTAACCTAATCCTGCCAAGCCCAACATTAAACCATGTCCCTAAGCACCTCATCTACACATCTGTTAAATACCTCCAGGGATGGTGACTCCACAGCTTCCCTGGGCAGCAAGTTCCACTGCTTAACAGCTGTTGAGGGTGATAAGGTCTCCCCTGAGCCTCCTTTTCTCCAGGCTAAACAACCTGAGTTCCCTCAGCTGCTCCTCAGAAGACTTGTGCTCTAGACCCTTCACCAGCTTCGTTGCCCTTCTCTGGACACACTCCAGAACCTCAGTGTCTTTCTTGTAGCAATGGAAAACTGAACCCAGTATTTGAGGTGTGGCCTCACCCCTCATCCAGATCAGTACTGGACAGCAGATCAGCAGTAATTTTGTGGATCACAAACTTGGATTCAGGCACCTAAAGCAGGGATCAGGTGGACCTTGTATCCCAAGTCTTTTTGTGGACCTAACCCTTGACCTGGCAGCACATGTGCTTGCTACCTGCAAAAAACTATGAAGATAGTGTCAGTCAAAGCTATACAACAAGGTCTGGCATTGATCCATC